TATGTGACGTCGAAAGGCATTCGTCCCTTAGCGGACAAGATCCAAGCCATCGTTGATTGGCTGGAACCCCGTTGCACGATGGACGTACGCTCTTTCATGGGTTTGGCTGGATACTATAAGCGCTTCGTCGAGTCTTACTCCAAAGTGGCAGCTCCTTTGTCGAGACTTCAGTTCCCGAAGGTACCATTCGAGTTCGACGACGCAGCTCCTGGCGCGTTCAATACGTTGAAGGCGGCGATGCAAGACGCACCGGCCCTCCGTATCTATGGCCCCACCCTACCCACCCAAGTGACTACGGACGCTTCCGGATACGGTATTGGTGCGGTGTTAGAACAATGCCACCCGGACGGTTGGCACCCGATCGAGTACTTCTCCCAAAATGTGCCTCTTGTCAACACTCTCGACGACGCTAGGAAGAAAGAGCTACTCGCGTTTGTCACCGTTCTCAAATGGTGGCGCCACTTTCTTCTCGGCCGTCGACGTTTTAAATGGAACACAGATAATAATTCGTTGCCCTACTACAAAACGCAGGACACGGTCACTAGCACGATCGGTCGGTGGATGTATTACATCGACTAGTTCGACTTCGACCTACGCCACATTCCCGGTCCTGCCAACCAAGCAGTGGACGCCCTCTCACGACGGCCTGATTTTTGTGCCCTAGTGACTACGACGTTCCAGCTCGACGTCGATCTGCAGCAGCACTTCGTTAATGGCTACAAGTCCGACCCGACATACTCCACGCTCTACGCGGAGCTTTCGTCGGATCACCCGCCGGCTGGTCACTATCGTATCGCCGACGGTTTCCTACTCCTCCACTCGAGAGGAAAGGACTTGTTAGTGGTGCCCCAAGATCGCATTCTACGGACTCATCTTCTCGGCGAATTCCACGACGCACGACTTTCGGCACACCTCGGCGTGACCCACACATTGGCCCGCCTCCGCCAACGTTTTCACTGGTCTGACGTTCTTCATGACGTCACGAGGTACATTGAGTCATGCGCAGTTCGCCATCGTAACAAAGGTAGATCTCAGGTCCCTTATGGCGAACTGAAACCGATGCCAATCCCTCGGGCACCGCGCCTCTCGATTGCTATGGATGTTACAGGCCCGTTTCCCTGCGATCGCCTCGGTCATGACGGCATCCTCACGGTCGTTGACCGTTTGAGCAAGTACGCTCGTTTTCTTCCATGCAAATACCGTGCTACAGCTCCCGGGCTTGCACGACTCTTGCACACCGGCTGGATTACCTGCCACGGTGTACCGGAAGACATTATGAGCGACAGAGACACTCGCTTCATGTCAGCCTTTTGGGCTTCCCTCATGAAGGAGTCCGGTTCGACTATGAAGCCAAGTTCCGCACGGCACCCGCAGACAGATGGGCAATTGGAACAAGCGCATCAAACCGCTCACATGATGTTACGTACACTCATCCGTCCCAACCAGAAAGATTGGGTTGACCTGCTTCCCGACATCGAGTTCGCCTATAACACTTCGGTGCACCCGACGATCTGCATCACTCCATTCGAGTTGCATCACGGTGGAGAGAAAGCCCGAGTCTCTGCCGATCTTCTTCTACCACGGGCCGCCGACATCGACGTCACTTGCTCTCCCGCTTCCGTTCGGAAGTACCGGGACTTGCTGATCAAAGCCCGAGCGAATATGCAAAAGGCTCAAATCCGCATGCAGCAGCAAGCTAACCAACGTCGATTCCCATGTCCTTTCCGTGAGGGAGACCTTGTTTGGGTCCTCGCTGAGGAATTCGCGCTGGAACAGGACGTCTCGCGCAAACTCCTCCCGAAATGGTTTGGACCATGGAAGGTAATTTCTGCAGCAGGCGACGACCCTGCTGGCCCTTCCTTTGTGATTGCCATCCCACCGCACCTTCGCGTGCACCCAGTTTTCCATGTGTTGAAGCTGGCCGTATATACGCCACCTTCCAAGGATGAGTTTTCGGGCAGACGATCACAGGATCCGCCCACTATGGACGGACATCAGGAAGTTGACCGTGTCATCGCGCATCGCAAGTATGGCAACACGCCAATGCAATACGAAGTCACATTCAAGCAATGTGCCCCTGATGACACGCGCTGGATCTCCCGCGCAGACTTACAGGCATCTGCACCACTCATCTTCTCCGACTACGAGAACCGATGACTCACCAAGGACAAAGCTCGTCCCGCCCAAACCACCCAGGTATCGGACAGACAACTTCGCTCTCGCAGGTAGCTCGGTCTTTTAAGGAGGGGAGTGTGTTACATACTGATGTCACACGAGTCCCTTTCGGACCCGACCACTAGGCTAAGGGGTACTTAGGCCGGCCCAGCCAAAGGCCGGACCCTTCTCCGGTAGGCCGCATTGAGGCCACCGGTTGGTTCCCTGCAGCAGACCAGGTCTAGGCCCAAACGACATTACCGTTGGGCCTGGCGGCGCTCTTGAGGCTGCCACTCGCGGGTCTGATCTGAATCGTCAATCTTGATGATCCAGATCACGGCGCGCTGGGCAGCATTAAGGCCGACCGGCCGCCGGACGGTACTTAGGCCGGTCCAGCGGCCATTGCTGCAGGTTGGAGCAGCGGCATTGAGGAGCAACCGCGCTGCGCTATTTTAGGTTCAGCGCAGCACCGGGAACTGCAGCGCTAAGTTTAGCGCACTGCAGTAAGGAAGAGCGAGGAGGGGGACTTACCTGACCAGCAGCTACGAGCTCCATAGCTCCAGCAGCACAGCCGTCTCCCGCAGCAGCCAAGGCGCCACCTTGTCCCATCAGGTAGGGCCTGGCGCTACTCGCCATCTCCGCCCATGCTCTGCCCCTCTCTTCTTCTGCTTCTTCTCCTTCAGACTTCTTCTTCCTCTCCCTCAGACTTCTTCTTCTTCTTCTTCTTCTTCTTCTTCTTCTTCTTCTTCTTCTTCTTCTTCTTCTCCTTCTTCTTCAGACTGGAGACTTGATACGAGTTGGGCAGAGATCAGTGATTGGACTTCGGTGGTAGGAGGCTGTGATACTTACTGGGTTCGAGACATTGGAGATAGTTGGGCTGGATATCAGGCGGCATCACAGATCGGACACCGGTTACATTAGGATTCTGTACCTCCGACATCGGTGACTTATGTCCACGACATCCTGATTTTGTTCCGTGACATTTTGGACTACCATTTCGGTGACCTTCTGGATTCTATCTCCGTGACATCTGGCGCTGCCTATTCCTCCCACCTCCATTGTCTCTCCTCCCACCATTCATCTGTGTATGATTGTACGGGGCCTGAAACATCGTCTATGTATGGTCTTCAGACCCCCTCCATCTCACGATTGCTTGTGTGTTGAGTGATGTTTGGGTGAGTTCAGCCTATGTGAGTCAGTCCATTTCTCAGACTTCCGCTGTATACATGCTCATCCTATATTGGTTGATCTTTTGGTTCTGCCCATACTTGGTGAAGTATTCACCAGTATGCAACACTTGGAGAACATTAGAGTGACTTTCCTGGCGGACATTAACCATAGCAGACGCACAGGGGGTGGGGGGGAAGGAAGGCTTTTGGGAAAGATGGGTCCCTTACCCACAGCTGGTGACACGATATCCTCAGATGGGCCTGATTTGGCCCCGTCTTGCTGCGCTGTGGACCTCGTCCTGAACCAGAATCTTAAAGCATCTAGGCGATCAGCAGGAGACCACAGCTCCATGGATAACAACCGAGGTGCACTATAGTTACGGAGGAAGGATAGGAGGACGAGTAGGTAAGGAGGGGGAAGTAGGAAGACTGGGAGTTAAGAGGGGACAAAATCCTTGAAAAACTGAAGAACAGCAAAAGCAAGGAAAACATAGTTGAACTTTGAAATATGAAGCGGAGAAATCCTAGTAGATAAAGGAAGAATGGTAAGATAGTAAGGAAGAAGGATATGGACGAACATGGAGGGAAACTAGGTGTAAATACAGGGCAGAATACCCAGAAGGCCTGTTAGAAAAAAATAGAGAGACAAGGGTGGAGAGACAAGAGTAGTAGATGGCCTATACAACATAGATGGTTTTGGCAAGAATGGAGGGACAAGCCAGAGAGACATGAGTAGTGTTCTGTACATAAAGTAGATGCTTTTCAAATGCCCGGTGGGCAGAACAAGAAATAGAGTATTAGAGAGCACACTAATAAAACTGGAAGACCTTGAGATGGTGATAAGAGGCAGGAGACTGCTATGAACCCCCTCCCAAAACCACGCCCTTCTTGGGATCCCGCTGCTGCATGACTGGGTGCTGATAGTAAGCCTCCCGATCAGCAGGGGAACCCCTGAAGAAGAGCCAGGGTCTTAAGAGGGGTGTGGGTTGTAGAAGTCCCCCCCTTGGGCAGGTGACTAGGACCTCAAGGGTAAAGCCGTTTCTCTAAGTCTGTTCCTCTTTCCTCTTCCCTCTCCCCTCTCCTCAACCCCTCCTTCTATGCTGTGGATACATGCTTGCCGGTGATAAGCAACCGGACTGATGCCCTCAGAATAGAAGGGGCTGTATTTGTTTTGGGGGAAAAAAAAAAAAAGTATCCTACAAACCTGGCTGTCAGGTGAGTTCAGCTAGAATTGATTGCCTGGAATGTTATCTTCTCCCCTCTCCTCCCCCCGCCCCCCTTCTATGCTGTGGATACATGCTTGCCGGTGATAAGCAACCGGACTGATGCCCCTCAGAATAGAAGGGGCTGTTTTGTTTTTTTTTTGGGGGGGGAAAGTGCTGTTCTTGTTTTGGGGGAAAAAAAAAGTATCCTACAAACCTGGCTGTCAGGTGAGCTCAGCTAGAGTTGATTGGCTGGAATGCTATCTATCACCAATGTCCACTGTTGTATGATCTGCTGCACGTACATGTTTGCATATCCTTCTTCGCCCTGTTTGACTCTTTCAACTGTTTGAGCTTCCCATGCGAGCCTCGATGCATGCGAGCTGTCGTTCACGCTGCACTGCAGCTCGGTAATGCTGGGGCCTTTTGTGGTGCATCTAACAGATTCTAACTGCTCTTTGTCCATCGTGTGCAGGTGGAAAGCACAGAATCTCTGTTGTCACAACTTGCTGAAGTAGTGGCAGGGGAGCGTGCTTTGCTTGAGGAGTGTGGGGAGTTGCTGTCCTATGCGGCTCTTCTGGAGGTAAGCCTTAACATATGCTCGTACCCAGTGCACCCTACTACAAAGACACTCCATGAAATCCATTTGCATAGTTCATTCTCCCTTGATACACGTCTCTCCTGCACCTGATCTCAACATCTGGTGCACACATTCTCCCTTTCTTTCTTTCACAAATTTTCACCTGGTTCTGCTCATTTCAATATGCCGTGGTTCAGCTTTGATCTGTGTTCAGTTTCAATCCACAATGGCTAACTAATAGAGTCAATAATATGGATTGAAAAAGTTTAAAAACTCATGCACTTGAACACAACCTCCAATACCAGCCTGTTAGTACAAGATGGAGGCCATCATCCTCTCTCTCTCTCTCTCTCTCTCTCTCTCTCTCTCTCTCTCTCTCTC